CCAGGTTTCATTTTTTCAAGATGCGCAATTTTCACGCAAGATTTTTCCAACACCAGCTTTTGGACAGATCTTGCCCCAAGATTTGCCCCGAGGCGGCCTTTAGGCCGAATCTTCAACATCTTGCTCTGCTGGAAATAATCAAACGTGGACCCTGGCGAAACAAATAGGCGGTCTGTATGCATCTCAGGCAAAGCTGTGACTGTTCTCAAAGGTCGAACAGCTGATTCGCATTCGTTCGGGAGGCAGACTGCCCACAAGGTCGAAAAAGCCAACATCTGTCCAAAGAAAGGAAGATAAAAGATTTGGAAACCATAAACATGGGGCCTTATTATCGTCATTTTTTCGCGCACGAAAAAACTTTTCCCGTCACCTCGAACGCCTACTATACCATTCCCACCCTGACACTCCTACCGAATACTCAATACACAGTCATTGCACCCTGTCGTTGGCTGGACCGCAAAAAAAAGTTTATTACGAAACAATACCAGGCAGGGGGTACGTCGATTCTATTTTTTATCCAATATGTTTGCTTGCTAGAAAACCGTCGTAGACATTTGCGTTGGCCGGGCCACCGAGTGGATGCGACAACGTGGGAGTGGGGAACCCCCGTTTGGTCAATCTGTCATTGGCGTCTGAGGTTTTGTGTTGGGGGGGACGGTGTAATCATGTAAACGCATGCCGTAGTCGTTGACCATTGACCTCGTACTCCTACAATGCCCGGACGGAGCAATACCGCTGGTTTGTTCCGACCCTCAATGGCGTCAGAGTGTGTGTGGGGGGCACTCATGTCAACGCATGCCGTTTGTAGTCGCTAGACCATTGATCTCCCATCCCTACACGGCCGGGACGGGCAATGTATCGAGGGGGTCTTTGCAAGCGTTCACATCCTGTTCAACTACAGCTGCAACTTCAGCTTGAAGATCCTATTGCTAATGGCACCAGCCGAGACTATCTTTTGCTTGAGGAACATGTGTGGTGCAGTACAAATTATAGTCGATTATAGTTATTCACAAAGAGGTTATAGTTCTTCACAGGGTGTGCGGTGTGCGGGCTTCTTTCAACTTACTTCTTTCTCGTTTGCACATAGTTGATGTTTTTGGGCCGGACATCCCGGGGTTCCAGAGTCATAAGTTGTAGTTGTAGATCCAGCGGGAAGAGTCCCAATGGCACAGCATGTTTGCTTTCTTGTGTGCAAACAGATTGCAATGTATGTATGTGCGCAGCATCCGGGCGAAAGAGGAAACACAAGAGAGCCGGCGTCCCCGCGGGCACTTTTTGCCCCCGGGGTGCACTATTTCTTAGGTCTTGTTCTTTTCTTCTTTCATCCACCTGGTCTCTGCGGTAAAACAGATAGCTTGTAAGTAAACAATCTTCGACAAATGTGGTATTCACGTTTGCACGTTTTCAGCGTATGGACTACAGGCTTACACAAACTCAAAATAAGCCCATTTTCCAGCCAGTTTCCCTCCACTAACTGAAAAGACTTTAGCACATCCCTTTGACTGCTGTGGTTATATCTCGAACGGGTACAGTACGCAGTCTTTCTGCGATATAGGGAAATGTAAGAGTACTTTCTAAGAAACTCTTGGGGGGGTTCACGAGGTAAATGTACTCCATCTTGAATGTGGGGACTTTAATACAAAAAATAACAGGTCGTTAAAGCATCTTTACGGGGAGACATACCAACACGCGCCTCCATGAACGCACTACGCATGCACATGCGAGGTTTGGTTGGCACGTTGTAGTTTGGGTCGCAAGCCGGATTGCTACCGAACCACACACGTCATTTTCCCCCAACGAACAAAACACTTTTTTTATTTGCGACCAAACGGTACTTTTCAGCATCAAAGACTGACTGCTATCAACAACCTCCGGTCACTGTGAAGACTTCAACACATCACGTTCGACTGTGGTCAAAGCTCGAATGGGTGGTCTTCCTGTGTTAATATTAGTGTTTCCTAATAATATTTTTTTTTTGAAGAGGAGTGGCCCGGTAGGGACGCTTTTTGTTGTTAAAAAAAAGCTATGTAGAGGGGGGGGGGGGAAACGGGCTCAAGTAAAAGTCTGTCTGTCGGTCTGTCTGTGACCAGCCTCGATATATTACCTAGCAGATTCCAGCCCATTTCACCATCTCGGCACCAAATTGCTATCTAAGACGTGTTCACAACAAGTACTATGTTGCCCGAGCTGCCCCAACTGCTACCTTTTCGATCCGTGCTCGGTGCGTCGAGATAGTGCAGCGTCGGTACCCAACTTGAAGCAGGGAAGTTTCTGGCCCCTTGCAACACCGAGAGGAGGCGTCGTTTGATTTTGAACCAAGACAGATAGCCTCGCACACCACACACCACACACACACAGAGCCAGACATGGACAAACAGGGAGAGGGAGACACAGACCATAGCGAGGGCGAGACGGCGGGAGAAGGGTGTGCCATACACTGCTGCTGTTAGCTATCGGCGGAGGAAGCGAGAGCAGAGATCAACATTGGTTGCAGCAGCAGCAGCGGCAGCAGCGGCCTCTCTCTCTCTCCGCGGAGATGGGCACATGACACCAACAACACACAGACGCTGCTACGCACCACCATTGGTGTGACATGTACTGCTGTACNACACTGCTGCTGTTAGCTATCGGCGGAGGAAGCGAGAGCAGAGATCAACATTGGTTGCAGCAGCAGCAGCGGCAGCAGCGGCCTCTCTCTCTCTCCGCGGAGATGGGCACATGACACCAACAACACACAGACGCTGCTACGCACCACCATTGGTGTGACATGTACTGCTGTACGCCTCTCTACACTTTTGCGCGCGAAGGCCTAGTGTGCGACCAGTGCCTCCCGTGCTAGCCTGGTTGCCCATCACACGCTTGAACGCTTTTGAGATTTCTCGATCGAAGCTCGAACCAACAAGCGAAGCACAATAGCAGAGACATTTTTTCTTTTTTTAGCTGCTAGCCCTTTTTTTTAATATAGGCGCCATCCGCAACTGATCGTCATGGGCTCTCCCCAGCTGAAAAAACGAAATTTCAGAAACCGTTTTTTTGTCTCGCGTTCAAACGCTTAAAACCGGTGTCTAAAAAGTTGAAAAAAAAAAATCGGTTCGGGATTGCTTTCGTTTTTTTTTTTTCGTCGTGTTGCCGATATTTGTTTCGTTGTTCACCTCGGCAATCGATTCCGCTTGGCCGAATTCGGGGGGATAGAGCCACTCAGAAAATTGCCCAGACAAAAACTCAGGTGGGCAGAGCAAATTTAGGAAACAAGATTGTGGTTGCATCCTTGAGGAAAAAGTCATTTTGGTATACCTATTTCTCAAAGACAACACCGAACTGCGTCATTCTGATGGAAGCATCGTGATCCCCACCCCAATATTGCCCAGAAATGAGACTTTGAGCCCGTAGGACCGGGTATTTGAGGTTGCGAGGGGAGGGGATGCTAACCTTCCATCCCCGCCATTTGGGCGCATAGGGATAGCTGTAACTCAAATGCGATCGACGAATTTGGAAAACCTGAAAACGGATTCGCAAATATCGACCCGATTTAACCCTCCGTTGAAATTTTCAGGCCGATCACAGCTATCTAAGAGGGGGGGGGGGGGGGGGGGGGGGG